TGCCGCCCCGCCCCCCGCGCCAGCGGGCCCTTGGGTTCGCCTCTGCCCCTGCCACAGCACCTTTGTATCAGGGCAGAGCAGGGACCCACATGTGCCGGCGCCTGCACCCGGGAAACTGCGGCCGGCGCTGGCAGGGACCCCGGGGGGGATGAACAGTGCGCCGGCGCGGGCACCTGCCCCCGGCTGGGCATGAGCCCCTGAGGGGGGGTCTCCTCCACGCCGCGGGTGCCCCCAGCCAGCTTGGGGAGGGGATGCGCAGCCACATCCCCCCCGGGACAGGCGGGGACTCTCTGGTGTCATGGGCGGAGCAGGAAGGCAGCCGCGCTCGGCAGTGACGTCCCTGACCTTGGCTCCGCAGACGGCAGCGTCGACCTGAACGGCAGCAGCCACACGGGGCCAGAGGAGTCGGGGTCCCTGGAGCTCGACCCTCCGCTGGAGCCGGAGTCCCCGGCTCCGTCCGCAGAGGAGGAGGAGGAGGAGAAAGAGGCCGCCGACAGCTGTCCGGAGACTTCGGCTGCGCCAGAAGGAGAGAGCGAGGAGGCCGCCCCGCTGAGCGCCTCAGCAGCAGGTAAGGCCAAGAGCCCCCACGGGCACCCCCCTCCAGCCAGCGCACCCGAGCCCAGCGTCCCGTCCCCTCTCTCGCAGGTGATGTCCCCCGCCGGCGCATCGCCACCCAGGAGGAGGTGCGCTTTCCCCTGCAGCATGGGTACGTGGCGCCGTCCCCCTCCCTCCGTCCTGCCCTGCGGCCGCCCCGCGGCACCGGGCTGAAGCTCCTTGTGCCCAGGTGGAGGCGGGAGGTGCGGATCAAGAAGGGGAACCACCGCTGGCAGGGTGAGACCTGGTACTACGGGCCCTGCGGGAAGAGGATGAAGCAGTTCCCAGAGGTGATCAAGGTATGGTCCCCGGGGAGAGTGGGATGGGGGGCAGCCAGGGGTCCTGGTCCGCCACAGGCCCCCTGGCTCTGCCAGAGCCCCCGACTGCAGCAGATGGACGCTGCCGTGAGCCAGGAGCTACGGAGCCCAGAGCACTAAGCCCCCCTCACGGCCTTCCTCCTCCTCCTCCCCGCAGTACCTGAGCAGGAACGTGGTGCAGGACGTCCGGCGCGAGCACTTCAGCTTCAGCCCCCGCATGCCGGTGGGAGACTTCTACGAGGAGCGGGACACGCCGGAGGTGAGTCTGGGGGCAGCTGAGCTGCCCTGTCCCCCTGTCCCCGCTGTGCTGCAGGAGGTGACCCGGATTTGTGCCGCAGGGTCTGCAGTGGGTGAAGCTGAGCCCCGAGGAGATCCCCTCACGTATCCAGGCCATCACGGGCAAGCGTGGACGACCCCGCAATGCCGAGAAGGCCAAGCCCAAGGAGCCACCGGCTGCAAAGCGTGGCCGGGGCCGACCTCCCAAGGTCAAGATGGTTGACTTGCTGAGCAAGACGGACGCACGGCTGCTGAAGAGGCTGGAAGCCCAAGGTACCCCCTCCCCAGCCCCACCGGCGTGGGGCGGCTGGTGCAGCCCCTCGCAGCCTGGCTCTGGTGGGACCCCAACGGCCGGCCCATCGCCACCCTCCCTCTCTGCTCTCGCAGAGGTGCTCAGCGACGAGGACAAGCTGAAAATGAGCAAAATCAAGAAGAAAATGAGGCGGAAGGTACGAGTGGCTGCATGGGGCTCGGGGTGCCTCTGGGGCCCCTCTGGGTCTGGGGTAGGGGCTTCTCTGGTGCAGGAAGGCCATCAGGTCCCTGAGCTGGTCTTGTCCCTTCCAGGCCAAGAACAAGCAGAAGCAGGAAGCCAAAGCCCCGAGAGCGAAGGAGGCTAAGAAGAAGTCCAAGGTGAGTCTGCAGGGTACAAGGGTGCCGGGAGGAGGGCAGGAGAGGGAGCCGCTCTCCCCACGCGTCCCGGGGTCTGTCCTCAGGCCAAGGAGAAGAAGGGCAAACCAGAGAAGGGGAAAGACAAAGCGCGGCCCAAGGAGAAGAAGGGCAAAGGGGCTCGAAAGGCTGACAAGGGCCTGCTGGCCCAGCGGCGCCTGGAGGAGCGGCGGCGGCAGCAGCTCATCCTGGAGGAGATGAAGAAGCCCACGGAGGACATGTGCCTGGGGGACCACCAGGTAGGCTGGGGCGCGGGGGGCTTGGCTGGGTCGAGCTGGCAGCGTGCCCGGTGCTTCGCTGGCCCTGACCGCCCCCCCTCCTCCCCTGCAGCCCCTGCCAGACTTCTCCCGCATCCCGGGCCTCGTCCTGCCCAGCCGCGCCTTCTCCAACTGCCTGACGGTCGTAGAGTTCCTCCAGAGCTACGGCAAGGTCCTGGGCTTCGACCCGGCCAAGGACGTGCCCAGCCTGTGCGCACTGCAGGAGGGGCTGCTGGGGGTGGGCGACAGCGCGGGCGAGGTGCAGGACCTGCTGGTGCGGCTGCTGCAGGCTGCGCTCTACGACCCTGGGCTGCCGCCCTACTGCCAGGTGAGCCTGTCCCCCTGCCCCGTCCCCTTCCCCGGCCGGGTCGGGGGTGTCGGTGCCCATGGGGCCCCGGCTGCTGCAGGCTCGGGACAGGGGAGCCCAGATTTGGGAGGTGCCGCTCTGGCTGCAGCCTCCTGCACCCTCTCCCTGCACCTCGCTGGCTCCTGGCCCCTGGCAGCCCTCGGGGGCCTCCTGTGTCTGTCCTGCTGCAGGGGCCTGCCTGGGACACCCCTGGGCTCCTTCCCACTCGGGTTTCTGGCCCTGGTTTTCCCGTCTGCGGAGTGCTGGCATCCTCCCCTTCTTGTTTCTTCCCCTCCTGGTGCACCCCCAACCCCATCTCTGCTCTGCCCAGTCCCTGAAGATCCTGGGGGAAAAGGTGTCGGAGATCAGCCTGAACCGTGACACCGTCTCCGAGATCCTGCGCTGCTTCCTGATGGCATACGGGGCGGGCGAGGACCTGTGCGATGGACTGCGGACCAAGCCCTTCCAGGCGCTGCCCCCGGAGAAGAAAGCCGCCATCCTGGCCTTCCTGGTGAACGAGCTCAACAGCAGCGCCCTCATCATCAAGTGAGTGCGGCTGGGGGGCAAGCGCGTCCTCGGGCGGCGCGGGCACATTGGCGCCCGGCATGGGCCCCTCTCCTTCCTGGGAGAGCTGCGCGGAGCCACTCGCCGCAGCCAGCCCTGTCTCATTGCAGCGAGATCGACAAGACCCTGGAGAACATGTCCAACTACAGGAAGAACAAGTGGATCATCGAGGGCCGGCTGCGCAGGTGGGTGGGGGCTGCCCGCAGCTCCCGCTGCCTGCAGCCCCCTTGGCGGGCGGGCCCCCCGCCCC